CTCTCTCTCTCTCTCTCTCTCTCTCTCTCTCTCTCTCTCTCTCTCTCTCTCTCTCCACCCCTTCTTCCCCCGGTCTCTCCCTCCACCTCGCTCTATCTACCTCTTTCTCTTCCTCTCTCTCTCTATCCTCTCTCTGTGTTCTTGTTTCTGAAGAATCTGAGCATGTATGGTTGATGCAGCAGTGCTTGTGGTCAGCTTCAATTAATAGCCCTTGAGTTGATCCAGGGTTACAACTTCTGACCTCTTCGATTGTGTGCTTAATCTTTTTTTGCAGGAAAGGTGACATCGATGCATTGCTGAAGGAGAATGCCTTCATGCAGGAGCTTCAGTCACGAATCGGTGAGTGATGTTGAACTTGCAGTTGGTTACTTTACCTGTGAGCGAAATTCTCGACTCTTTGCAAATTGCAAGATGTTGTCGGTCCCATATTGCCTTAAGAGAAGTTAAGACCTATTGATAAATCATAAATGGGCTGGCTCAAGGCAGTATTGAAAACACAATTTTCCTGGTGATGCTCGCCCTTGTCTGCCACTGTGCACCGCAAAATTGGAGGCCTGTGAGAGTGCATGCTACATGAAGTTGTTCTGGCATGTGCTGGAAACATCGTGCGAGTTCACTATATGCTTGGAGGGTTTGAAGAGTTGCCTTGGTGCTCAGTCGTATTCTTTTGTAAGTTGCTTTGTAGAAGCCCATTGTGGCAGACTGCGTAGCCACACGGGCCCTGTAGAACCTGTCCTGGACATTCAGCCTTAAAGCCTAAAACTTAGGAGCTACAGGCCCCGGTCGTTTCAGCCTGAAAACTGAAAAACGAGGGCCTGCAGGCCCTACTCCGTTTCAGCCCATTTCTGGGTCTTTCAGACCCAGAGTTTTTCCAGCTTGAAACGGAGGGCTATTCTTAGGCCCTGGGCTATTTTTAGGCCCTCATTTGTTTCGACCTGCCCTAAGATTCAGGCACGAAAACTGGGTTTCGGAACAGGCTATTTCTGGCCTGTTCCCACGCCAGCTCGAGCAGGAGCTGCAGCTGCAGCCCCTGCCTCCCTGCTGCAGCTGCAGCCCCTGCGTCCCTTCGGCATTATTGGCAAGAGCACGAGCAGGAGCTGCAGCTGCAGCCCCCTGCCTCCCTTCGGCATTATTGGCAAGAGCACGAGCAGGAGCTGCAGCTGCAGCCCCTGCCTCCCTTCGGCATTATTGGCAAGAGCAGCCTCCTGGACTGCTCGCCCGAGTCAGGAGGCACCCATGATAGTACATAGGAGCTTCAGGCACTGAACGGGTAGGCAGTTGGAGAGTAAGACGGTAGTCTTCAGATTTCCGCCGCAGCACTCAGGAGGAGCGCTGCAGTAGTCTTCAGCGCTAGGCAGTAGTAGTAGCGCTAGCTGTAGTCTTCGGCGCTGG